TCACTCTGCCTGAGGTGTTTTTATATAGGGCTTTTAGGATGTTAATAAACTTCTCAGGCACACCCTTCTTCAATAGACAATCCCAGAGAACAGTCCTGTCCAACGAATCGAAGGCAGCCCTAATGTCAAGAAACACTACGATTGTTGGCCTTTGATAAGTATGGCGGTGTTCTAACATTTGGCGGAGGGTGAAGATATGATCAATACATCCTCGACCAGAACGAAACCCAGCCTGCTCCTCGCGAGTCAATCTTTCTCGGGTTTTGAACAACCTACGAAGAATGACGGAAGCCAATAGCTTGGACGCAATCGGAAGTAGACTTATCCCCCGATAGTTGTTACAGGAACGACGTGAACCCTTTTTAAAGATAGGGACAACTATCGACTCATTCCATGACGTTGGTACACTCTCTAGTTCCCAAACCTTTGTAAACAACGTCGTCAATTCCTTAGTCAAAAAGTCACCACCATCTTTAAAAAGAGCCGGAGGTAAGTCATCTGGGCCAGGTGATTTGTAACGCTTCAAGAGTTGGAGTTCCTTGCGGACTTCCTCCTCATTTGGTGGATCAGTCGTCACCGGCCATGGAGGGCAGGACAGTCTGACCGATGTTGCCGGAGCAGCAGGCCAGTTGAACTGCCCTTCGAAAAATTCTGCCCATCGTCCAAGACGTCGATGGATGTTAGTGATTGGCATCCCATCATCCTCGCAGATTGTTTCACTCACACCAGACTTCTTGCTGCCAGTGGCTCGGATGAGTGGAAGAGCTTCCGGTAGTTACCAGATGCAGCTGCTGCTTCCAGCTCATTAGCACGCTTCGACCACCAGGCTTCTCGGTCCTTACGCAAGCTTTGCCCAATTTCCTTACGTAACATCCTTCGTTTATGGTCAAACTCACGGTCACCCGGAGTAGACCGACGGGCTTCAATGAGTTGTAAGGAACCAGAAGAAACCCAGTGCTTAAAAGCGGGACGTTTCGCAAACCCACAACTGACTGTTCCCGCCATTTTCATGGCGTCATGCAATTGCAACCAATGCTCATCTATACTTTTCGGTGGAATGGTAGCTAGCTTAGAAACTAGCTCGGTTCGATACTTACTTGCAACAGAAGTTGCAACCAGCTTGCTAACATCAATCTTTTGGTGGTGGTCACTTCGTTGTCCACTGAAAAGTAAGGCAAGATTGGCGCAGACCAAGGCATGGTCAGAGTCCAGATAGGTACTCCAAAAGGAGCGGCAGTCTTGTACACAACCATGCCAGCGGTAGCTGATCGCAATGTGATCAATCTGAGTCCAGGCTTGAGAGGGGAGGACGCCAGGTGGCACATCGGCGATGACTGTGCCGAAAGTTAGTGCTAGCCAGAAACAGGTTGTGGTCTGTGCAAAGTTGCAGTAGACGGTCCCCGTTATCTGACCTGCGACCAACAAGTCTCCATCGGCCACCTAAACGACTCTCTTCTGTGCCTAGACGCCCGACCTGAGCATTCAAGTCTCCGGATAGTACTACAATATCTGTCGAACGCACTTTCTGGAGGAGAACAGATAACTGGTGGTAAAACTCATCCTTGATTGCATCCGGACTGCAATCTGTCGGGGCATAGGCGGAGATGACGAAAAGACATCGTTTCTCACGCCGATTTCTTCTCACTTTGATGGAACTTTCTAATCTAACAGCACATAACCGACTGTTAATGGGGATCCAATCGACTAGTGCTGCCTCAGCTCTAGCGCTTAGTGCGACACCAACGCCAGCAAGACCAGACGAAGATGCCACAGGGTCCCCGGATAAGCGCACGTAAAACAAGCTTTTCGAAGCGACAGATGGAGATTGAATTTGTAGTACTTCGCCAGAGTCTTGAATACGGGTCTCGGATAGACAACAAACATCAATATTAAGACTTTCCAAAGACATAGCCAGCCCTATCTGTTGTCCGACCTGCATAAATGTGCGAACGTTGAAGGCAGCCAGTTTGAATGGTGCACGTGGTTTCAGAAAAACTGCTTCAGTCCTCGTATTCGGTGGTAACATACAATTTTCGACCGGACAGTGACTCGAGAACGTTTAGATACAGTCGGATTTCCACCAAAGACGAGCCGCTGTATAAGTATAAAAGAGGGTGAATAGTGTGAATAATAATAATAATAATGACAATAATAGTAATAATAATAGTATTAATAATGACAATAATAGTAATGATAATTATTTGAATCGATTGATTGTTTTTCGGAGCGAGAAAAGTAGTTGCCATAGACATAGAGTTCATCGTTTGTGTGTGGGCTGTGATACTGCCCGGGTGCCCAAACCGAAGCAGGTGGTTTTCTTAGGGGGCCACCCCCCGAGCCTTTGACCTAAAGGTCTAACCCACAAGGCAGTGGAGCATCGTAAGGAGATGCAATCCCATGGTAGCCGGTGACCAACAATTGGTTCATACGCCATTTGTTCCCGCAGGATACTGAGGCCCATATGCACCATTGGTTTGGAATCCGGTTAAAGCGCCGGACATTCGCTTTTCATCCTCTCATTTTCGTAAACAACGCCCCCGCCACGAGAAGGCAATGAGTAGGACTTCCCTGACAGAGGCTGTATACGCGCGGCCGTGTGAGAGTATTTCGAGAGGGAGAGCGGACTCTCCCCACTCTCGGCCGTACCAGGGCATTCGGGGGCCAAGAAGCTGTTCTTGCTGGTCGAAGCTCATTATCATAGCTTGGTCATAACCTTTGGTAAAACGATTGTTTTCCGTGAACTCAAACTATTTTAGACCATTGATACAGTCAGAAACGCTATTTTTAAGCTACTCGATATAAGACTGATTTCCTATCACACAGGACCGATTTAACTTATATGCCAGTGGAAGAGGACTAATAACAACCACCTTCTCTCTGTAGTTCCGTTTTCCTGTCATCGTGATTGGCTGTCCGACATTTATAGCTGGTATCTTTCGATTCAGCGAAGCGGTTAGTAAAGACAGGTTTTAAGTACCAAAAAAAACTTGTGTGGTTCACTGTTATCGTTTTGCAGATACGATCAGACGGAAGCTTGACTAGAATATTGAAATAGGCTGTTTGTCGTAGTTAAATATACAGAGGTAAACCTAAAGTTACACTTCAATCAGCACTCCGTGGCCACATAGTGGTTGGGGCGTTCGAAAAACACCCCACCTACCTCAACTTATGCGACTGGATAGTATCATTAGCCCTCACATGAGTTATTTTTCGCTACACTTCAATTGTCCAAGATTTGACTGCAGTCAAACCTCCAACTCTTGCTGAGGTTAAGAAGGCTGTTGTAAATATAACAAAGCAACAGGACGTGACAGTAATTTGATGGGCTTCGAGTATGGCGTCCTTCAATTTATGGTTAAATTGACATACTGGGGTATATAGTTTGGGAGTATTCTGGTCTTAGTTGGTAGTCGTATTAGTTTGAGGTATGAATTATTTTGAGATAACTAGTCCTAGCATCACAAATCCGTGTTAGTTGGAGCACAACATAATGATGTGGGCTTCAAATATGTATTAATGAGTTCCTCAGATTCTAGATCATTTATCTGATTAAAAGTAGATGAACTTATAAACAGCGTTTAACTCGAAACCAATAGGTAATGTCATGGAGTTGTACTCCATCACGTTGGGCTTCGTTAGGAAGTGTCTTTACTAGTTCTAACTTTTTTCATTTTAGTGTATCCACACATTTGTCAAGTTTGAACATAATAGGTGAAGATGCCGACATTTGGGGACTTCTGCAACTGGCTATTCTTATAAGGGAGCATAATCTGTAAAATGCAATATCACAACCTGGAACTGGTTTACACCAACACCTAGCCAACTCAGAAGTAAAACAGAAAAGTTACGTATATGGAAAATAGCTAAACCTGTTCCGTACTTATCAACCTACACGATAAAATAACTCACACCTTATCACAAGCCGAGTGTACTGAACAAGCCATCAGCTAATCTGTATTTAGGGGCTTGTTAATGTTTTAGTGTTGCATATTTAGAAGCGATTTGAAAGTCTTTAAAGTGCATTCAGCCCAACACCACTTATTTTATTTAAAATTTAAAAATGTCCAATGAATCCCGTTGTATGATTGACTACGAACTTTCTTATCACAATGATGGTTTTCTAGTCTATGGATATAAGTGGATGACACGGACATTCTTTAAGTGTAAAAGAAGAGACAAACTTTCTAGTTTTTTTTTTATATTATTTAGTCGTTTTCCGAACTGACTTGTGTAAGAAGTTACTGAACACAAAATTTTGTATACAGCTAACCCATATAGAGGTTTTATAGAAATTATGCTAATCAAAAAACGGAATATTTCAAAGTGAATGATTAAATAGAGACGCGCTCTAACGAACCAATCCAAATGTCTCGCAGAACCTTTTGAGAACTAATTTGACTGGGACCAAAGCAAGATGACTAAAACAGTGTATCAAAACAAACGAACAGAGGACAAATCTCCCTTACTATATGAGATCTGAAGTAACTAGGTCGATTCTTCAGAATGTTTAGCTGAACACATGTTCAGTCTAAACCAATTATATTTTACCTAAGTAATTTATATGGCGATCATTTAAGTTCAGCTTTAATGTTTTTTACTCAGAAGCCTTAACTTCTAACTTATTTTTCATATGAAAGAACGACCTAGACCGCTTCATAATCACTTTACTCTAGTTAGTAAATACTAATGAACTAAAAATGAGATTCAACAAACATGAGTTCCTATAGCATTAACAGCACGTAATATGTGAGGGCTAGTAATACCACTTATCTGATCAAATTTACTCGGAAGTTACAATATCCTAACTTTTGGCCCAGTGATTGATGGGTCACAACTCCACTAGACTAGCATGATATAAATACGGAAAGCTGTTAGTCGTACGACTACCTAACTGTAGACTCTCATATTTAGAATATTCACTAGTTTTTACACTATCTAATACAGGAGACTAGTATTTGATCGCATACAAAACCACAAATTATTATATACCACAGTAGATTGCATGTTTTGAATAAATGTATTCAAAATTACATTGAGGTTTTTATTTTTAAAATTATAAGCGATTAATAACAAAAATTTGTTGATTCACATATAAAAGAAAGTTTGTGACGCTGATCATTAGTTGTTGTACCGGATAGAATGGTGTCACACAGGAAGTAATAAATCAACTAGGTTTTCAGAAACAAATGCATTAATGTGACTTTCAATTCGACCACGTAGCACGGTTGGACCAAAACGATTTCCTATAGATTTAAGGCATTCCGATGCAGCATTAACAGCCAGCGGTAACTTGCTTTCTACTGCGGTTGCCAATACTTCCAGAAACGCATCCATATATTTTTTAAATTGAGGTTTTTCGAGATGATTACACAGCTGTACAATTACATCGCAAGCTGGAAAAAGAAAATCAAATCTTTAGAAGGAAGAAAAATGTCACTGCATATTCCCAATTTTAAGACAAATAAAAATTGAGATAAACGATACTAAGTTTGTGTAAAAAAAATTAGATGAAAAAACTTAAATAACGTGGTGCATGTTCACGAACTTAATTATTTTGTTTGCTAAAGTTACAAAACTTAAAGTATACTTGATTGATTACGTTAAATATCAAAATAGATAAAGCACTTGTGCACTGTAGTAAGATCAATCATAGTAGCAAAACAATCCATTTTCTAGGATTCTGTCCTAAGACATTTTTATCTGAAATGAATACTTTTGGTTGATTGTCTTCTCTGAGACAAGGTTACTACGACAGGCTGATTCAGCGCTCACAGAGTAGTTCACTTCTACCCTAATGTTATTTAGATCAACATTGAAAAACTACCTACTTTAGAGGATACAATCAGAACTTTGTCAATTGTCAGAGTTTTAATATATGTAGGAATCCGACGAATTCAAGGGTCGGAAAAAATGATTCATTACATGCAATAAACTGAAGCTATAAACGATATTGTTGCACAGAAACACCCAACCCATCGTTCTTTAGTTGCAGCTGAAATTACAGTTTTAAAGATTATGCTTACCAGTTTCTAAAAAATAAGGATAATGTGTATAATTTCGATGTTCACAACCCTTCAATAGTTGCTCAATCAAATCGTCAGTGACTCGGTTTGGGAACTTGTCTGATATTTGACCGATCAAGCGAATTGCGCCATCAGCCTCTTCCCAAGGTTCACTGGCACGTTGATGAAGACCATTATGACAACCACCACCTTTTCGACCTGAAATATTTGCAGCCGTATGTAAATATAGTGAGAAAATATCAACATGGTAAGATCGACTCTTAAAATTTATTTGTTTAGAAATTTTAGTCAAACGACTAAATTGTGATGAGCATAAAAATACAATATAGAATAATATTTTCACAGATTGAACTCATGAGTCAGTTGAAGCTAGACCACCATTGAAAACCTGGAAGCACTGGACGGCCGTTTCGTCCTAGTACTAGGACGAAACGGCCGTCCAGTGCTTCCAGGTTTTCAATGGTGGTCTAGCTTCAACTGACTCATGAGTTCAATCTGTGAAAATTTCTAAAAATCTCCACAAAACACATTCTGATAATAGAATAATATATCTGAACAGTTAGAACTGAAATGTCTATTTTCGTGTGATCCACAATACCATAATAATACCCACCTACAATATACAAGGACACAAAACGAATTTTAAAGTCAAAACTGTCAACAGCTATGGTAAAATTATTACTGGATTGTTAAATTGCCACAAATCAAATATAATAGTTAGTCATGCAAGCCTAGAATTTATCACAAATGTGTATCACTTTAGTATTTAATACATTCGTATCTTAATGTCAATAAACAAATTATGATATAAAAATAGTTTAAAGACGATGGAACATACGATGTAGAGAAAGATGAATAATAAATACATTTGTGCAGTTGATTTCAAGAATGAAAATCATTCTCCAAACATACATTTCGATAATCATACGGGCTGCAGGTAGAAAATATGCACCTATCAACACAGCTCTTGTTCAACAGTAAATGGTATCATAAAAATTTTAATAATATTACAATTGTAGTGAACAAGAACACCAGCGGGGACAATCGAATGTATTTAACACAAAATTACAGGACTTGTTGATAAAATCTAAAATAAAGTAAATGCTTAATTTGCAAAATGTCCATCGACTGTCTCAAAATGGCTCAGACTTCATTGTTCTTGCACATTCATACAAATTTTATTCTGTTTTTATTCTTTACTGTTCGATCCTCTTGTCTCTCTGCTGCCAGACCTTCTGTTCACGACTAACATACTACACCACACTATTAGTTACTATTATGGGGAAAATATTTTTTGTACTCATGTACTTTTATTTTCTAAAACGACACTACATGATGCAGAAACTAAGTGCTAGAGCGAATAAAAAACTATATGAATTTAATATGTTATTCATTACCAGTGATTGAATAATACCCCTGAACTACTGCACTACACTCACCAAGACATGCAGGTAAAAAAGACAAAATCCTTCTCTGGATTTACTGCTTTTTGAGAAAAGTCGTACTGCTGACTGAAGAGGAGTGTGACAGTAGTAAGACGTTTTCCTCGGGCAACCAGCATCTACAGCGATGCTGCCTTCTCACAACGAAGGACGGGGTTAGAAAGGGTCGACCCTAAAATTATCGAACCTCACCTTACCTCACGGATTCCCATCTTCGGCGGTAAGGCCTTTTGAAGAACAGAGCTAACACGTTAAAAACTTTCCACAAAAAGGCCTTGCGCGACCGGCCTCAAGTAGTTGTCCCTTGGGTTCTGTGGTTACGCTGCCAGGTCGTTAAGACCAACAGTAATTTAACTTCCTTTTTAGGTTCTTCGAGAAATACACTTCCACGGTGTGGGCAACCGGGAAGTGACATCAGCACTTATACATCTGATACTGAATAAATAAGTATGAAAATATTAAAACTACTGATTGAACAGGTGAAATTTCCGGTCGCTAGAATGTTTATCGAGATGTTAACGCGATCAATGACGTGGTCGAGTGGATAGCTGATCATAAGAACGAATTCTTGACTGGAGACCCCGAATGATTTGAAATAAAAAAAGATTACTAGCCAAGTGAATGGGTATTTATCCAACAAAATAACATGCCTATATTCAAAATATGAACACATAAAGAACAGTAAAATGTCATGACTGTGGAAAATTAGCCTACAGATCACTTATTCTCAAACGAATAAAGACCTGTCTGTTAAACCAAATTTTCGGGCATCGTATCCAAAACTGATATCTGTAAAATTAGACTTACTTAGAAAGAGTTATCTCAAAGAGTGATGAGTAGTTAACATACCTTTCTGAAGCTTTGGGGCCAAGGATCCACAGGAGTACATAACTTGATCAGTATGACGACTATCATGAGCAGCATCTCCACTGTGAACAGTAACATGAGATGCTCCTGGTCCCTTCCCAGATACACGACTAGATTCTGCACCATGAGATTCTTTAGGCTGTTTGCTTAATCCATCAATTTTCTCTACGATATGATTGATATAATGCTTGGGAAAATTGATTAAAACGAAAATAACCGTATTCATATCCAATAGTATGATAATGAAATATACAGATTATTAATTATTCTAATTGCCTAAGTCAGACCACTGTTAGTGAAAATGTGGTGGACAATTCAAAGTGTGGAAACAAATAAACCTAACAACAATATATGATGCAGATTAGCATGTTACTTAACTTTTTCACAAACAAAAAACCAAATTCAGTTTTCACCATTACATAAAGGTATTTAGACAGCTTACACTGACACCATATTCTAATTTAAAACCCGAACATTTGGTTAAGTTCCTTGTGTTAATTTTAATCCCCATGTTAAGATGGACTGAGCAAACAGCAAATATTCCCGTTCATTCAATTACTAGATACTCATCCGGATATCAACTGATTTACACTTGTTTACAACATTTGCGCTTAATTTCTTAAAGAAATATTAATATCTCAGCTTATTTTTACCTGATGAAAATGTCCGTCAGATGTAGCCCAAATTGATTAAGCAGATTTAGATAAGTAACTAATTGCTGAAACGTTTAAAGAAGAAGTGTACATAGGTGATATCTGTGTGGGAATTAAACGTACCTTCAAGTTAACTACACAAATAAGTTACTGCCTTAGTAATAACTTGTTTGATAGCACAAGTCCCTCCACTAGGATCTAGTTAAACAAATCTTGGACAGATCAATAAACAAAATAAACAACCTAAACTACGCACCATAGTACAATCAGGTGGTTTGACATTCAGCTTTGTAAATACATATTTATTCTGAAGATAATTGAGATATCCACAAGAGACAATCAAGATGAAAGATAGGGAAATATGAAAAGTACTTCAAATGAAACTATGAGTGGCGGAATTCAAAAATATGGAGGACTTTACAAATACCACTGATGGGACTGAGTGATAGTTGCGCTGAATAAAGTTGAAAATGTGAAATACTGTGTTTCCATTTAGTGCACAAAGAAGTATCGTGCTCGCTGAGAGATTTGAAGATTCAAAGTTTGGTCGTATGTAGATTTATGGGTCACAAACTAGGAAGAAAGTGATTGGATGTGTCTTGTTATTTAATAGTACCCCAGTTAATATAAGCTTACAATGAAAACTAAATAAAAGCTGATCGATCTCCACTAATCCCTTATCTAAAGATATAAATACTTGCTACACCAAATAAAAAATTTGATAAGATTAGTGCAAACAAGTTGGACGGAAGATATTAATACACCCCTACAAGTTGAAAATACTAAACGGAAATTACGTGCAAAGCCTTCAGTTGTATTCGAGAAGTTGGACCTAGTTTCAGCTGGGAAGAATGATATGACAGCAGATCAAAAAAGGTAAAATTAAGTCAATCGGTAGGATATTGTAAATACGTGTCCACATAGTAAGTTAATGATTAGTTGGTGTTTAATACTATTCAATTCAAATTATAGATATCTGGTCATTAATATGACTGTAAATAAATCAAAGGAAAATTAATGTGATGAGATAACAGTTTAACTTATTTGGGTTGATAAAAAATTTCTATCACCAGTATGTGTTCTTACTACTACTCATCGCTGGGTTTGAAATTTTAATACCAAGCACAAGTAAGTTCAGCATTTGGCAGACATAACAGAAACAGGTATCACGGAAAATTCAAACATCAATATATGGACACAAAATATAGAAACAGAAAAAATTACTTGGAATAAATTTTGATCACCAACTGATTTTAAAATCGCAGCAATCGATTTAGCTGCACCATCACGGACTGATGGAATACTATCACTAAGGTTTCGTAAGAATTGTGTAGCCATTAAATTATCGTAGCCAGCCGCGCGTGTCTCATTAGGAAAGGTGGAAATCAATGAACCAAGTGCAACACAGGCCGCATCTCTTACTGGCCAACTTTCATCTCCAAAGCATACAATTAAGGCATCGAGCAATTTACTGACACACGGTAGTAGCAAATTTGGATCTAATTTAGTTACAATCTCAGCCATAGACGCACAAGAAGCCTCACGAACCTGAATAAAAAACAAAAATCTGTATCAGAAATCTTTAGTACAAACTGTGAAAATGCTTGATTGTGGATCTGCTCAAGAAACAGAATAACAGATGTTTATTGACTAATATTTCAGTGAAGTATAAAATCCGTATTAAACTCTATTAATAAATTTAAACAATGATTGGAACAAAAAATCTATTCATATCAGTATACAGTCTTGTGAAGACAACCATTGAAAACCTGGTAGCATTAGACGACCGTTTTATCCTAGCATGGGACTCAGAAGTGTAAATTTACTATTCCGCTATTGAAGATCGAACCAAAGACCTTCGTTATCGCGTTTAAATGTTAAACCTCTAGACCATTGAGCTAGGATTTAACAGAGTTAACGTCTAACTTCAATCAATTCACGGTATTGAGCAATCACTTGACATAACAGTCTCACACTCGATACGGTTGGAATTCACTAGTCACAGCTTTTCACTATAACTCCGCCAATTGCATCCAGAACCCAGTCACTGGTGAGCACATGATTACTATTTGTAAAGACTAGAATTTTCAGATTTTAAATCACGAACAAATATTTTATTTATTTGAACCTGTAAATGTTGGCACATAGAGGCACCAAATACACATGCGCCACACAAGTCACTTGATTTGTGTGTGGACTGTGATACTGCCCGGGTGCTCAGACCCAAGCAGGTGGTTTCCCTAGAGGGTCACCCCCCGAGCCTTCAACCTAAAGGACTGATTCACAAGGCAGTGGATCAACGTCAGATGTAGTCCCATGGTAGTTAATGACCAACAGTTGGCTTATACGCCATTTGTTCCTTCAGGATCCTAGAGCCCATGTGCAAAATTGTTCTGGAATCCGGGTTTTTCAACTCCCTTAGGTGGACCCACCAACCCGCTCTTCGTCCTCTCAATGTCACAAACAACACCCCCTCCTGGAGAAGAGAGTGAGTAGGACTTCCCTAGCAGATTTCGTATACGCGTGGCCATGTGAGAGCATTTGGAGGAGGAAGGACTCTCTCCACCCTCGGCCGTACCAGGGGGGACGGACAAATATCAGTTATTTTTATTTATTTATTTGAACACATAAATATTGGTACAAGAGAGCGCCAATATATATGCGCCACACAAAACAATGAGAATTCGAAGAGAAATAGAAAAAAAAGAGAACAATAACGAAGAGATTGGAGTAAGGTAGTGTGGTAGTAATGAGGGAACGCAAAGGTACAGTCGGAAGAAATCTTTTGGGTAACTGCTCTCACTGACGCGTTATAGGTCCGACCTTTTACAGCCAGACTAACATCACGAAGGCGCCAAAGGTGGCCCAGATTGGCATAAGCCGCTCTGGCTTTCACTATTCGTGCATTGATCTCATCAATCACACACCCACCAGCACTTATGCAGCTACCTAGATACACGAACTTCTCGACTACGTCTACCTGCTCACCATCCAGGGTGAGTACAGGATTGGAACCCTGCCAGTCTTGTAGAAGTACTTTGCACTTCGAAGGTGCAAAGCACATACCATACCTACGGACACTGGTTGTCAACTGATTAAGTGCGGGTTGCATGCCTTGGGCATTATCGCACAGTAAGACAATATCGTCCACATACTCAAGGTCGAGAAGTCTTTCTCCAGGCAACCGTCACGGTCTTACTCTTGTGATTTGTTGCATGGTAAGAACCGTCGACCAAGAATCGAAGCAAATATCAGCTAGACCACGAATGAAAACGTGGACACACTAGACGACCGTTCCATTTTAGTTGGATAGCGGTGTGGTGGTTTGATGGTTAGGCGTTCACATATTAGACTGAGAGTTTTGGGTTTGATTGCCTGATGTGGGGTGGGGGTGCGCTGATGAGGTGCCCCGTACTAGGACGAAACAGACGTCCAGGGTTTGTAGGTTTTTAATGGTGGCCTAAGATTTTTCATAGTTTAAACTCCACAAAAGCTTATAATTTAGGGATGTTGAAAATAAGATTACTCGTAAGTATGCAGAAATATCATAACTTTGACTCCTGTCACATTTTTAAAAAAAATAAACATTGCTTATTGAATCACTGCCATATCAAAACCTCAATCTTACTATTTCATTTAGAACTAAGAGAGTTCCCAAGGTTCCTTGTATATAACTTTGTTAACAAATGGACACTATTAAGAGGTGTCTATTAATTAATGGCATTTAGAAATCGCTATGATTAGGTACTTAAACACAATTAATGTTTTATTCGTGAAAATTTAATTAATCAATTAACCAGTGTTTAAAAATATGGTGTATTTCATTTTACAACATTGAAGAGATGTTAACAGGAATACATATGTAAATTTAGCCGTTAGAAGTTTACTCATGAGTTTTAGCATAAATACTACTACGAGTGAGCAAGATCGATTTCTTTTAAAAGGAAAAAGGAAAACATATAAATCACCAATTTAGCTATATTTCTTAATTGAAGGAGTTAATCTATTGATTTTGTAAATATACACTTACTAAACTAACGCTAATTAATGGTCAAATTCACCAATTACAAGGATATGTATGATATTGTACATTTGGATGTTGTTTTTACTATTTAGGAATCAGTTGTAAATCAGTGTTGGATTTAATGGTTGGTACATAAATCAATATTAATCAACAGCTGTGCACTCTTTTTTGCGTCAAGTTAAATGCCTCACCTCACTTTACCCTACAGACCCCCATTTCCAGAGGTAAATACTTCTGAAGTAGCAAGCTAACATAACGAATACTTCCTACAAAAATACTGTGACCGGCCACAAGTAGTTGTCTTATATGCATTGTGGTCACGCTCCCAGGTCATTAATCCAGTTTCCTATTCAGGTCTATCAAGAAGAAATATCCTCTCGCGATGTGGGCAAAGGAGAATTGAAAACTCGCCTCATACCTTTTATAGTGCACGACATCACCTCGTTTATAACTAAACCCCATTTTCATTACCATTATCAACTGTCACCTGTTTTCGAATTCTTCATAATGAACAACTAGTGTTAACGATTGGAGCTAAATAAATTCTATCCTTTCTCCTGAAACTGCGCTTCAGACTACATGCCAGAGATTTTAACACCCGAATCCCATGTCCAATAGGAGGATAGGTGTCACTAGCTGAGACAGCAGAGCCTCGTGCTATTGATGCATGTTGTATTTCCGAAACATGCATCTAAGATCACAGTATGGTCATTCACTTTACCTTATTTTTCGTATATTTTGAGACATGACAACTCATGGTCTTGTCGGTAGAACTATGGCACTAAAATCAGTCTTATTCTATTGAACAGGTAACAATTTACTTTCTGGACACGCCAATTGCAGTATTAATCAGGCCTTTACCAAGTCTTTACGCTTTCGATAAGAAAGATTTCAAGGAGTTGAAAACGATGCCTTTGGGTTGTCAAAATGAATGAATAGAAAGCTGAGTGATAGGCGACGTGCAATGATACAATGTGGACGCGACTGAATTACTGACGAGAGCCTTCAAATGAATTAATATCCAAAGAAAAAAGCCGAAATAGCTATTTCTAAAGTAAAATATACAAGATATTCGTTATGAAAATACGTGTAATCAGATGTCATAAGCGACCAGAGGATATAAATTTTGTGGGTTGTTCACCCCTCAGTGAATTAAGACATGAGAGTAAGCGCAACTTTTCCCCACTAAATAATCTTCCATAAAGCTATATTGTGAAGTAATAGAGCACTTTTAGCTTACGTATATGTGATCGTGCATTATCTTATGTAGATGTTTTAACGGAGAAGCTTTAGTAATATTGAACGACACCATAAAAATACAAACAAAAAGTCCACTATAACATATTATAAAAGTAGGTTACCATAAAAGATTGGCAACTTACCGCATGATTATCGGCATCACTTTGTTGAATGTAATAATCGACAGCTGGAACTAAATATTGACCAAGTAACTTTCGACCTTCTCCTTGAGTAACACGACACCAAGTATCTTGACTATAAATCCTGACGCCTTCAGCAACGTAATATCTGTTTAAACACATAGCTGGTAAAAGAATAGGGTAAATATCATCTCTCGTATATCCAGAGGGAGGATCAACCTCAAAAAGAGTTCGTACTGCTCTGGAAGCGGCCATACGGACCTAAAATTGCAGTACATTTCACAAACAAAAAAACTTAAGGAAACCTATTTCGGTTGAGTAATAATAGCGAAATTTCGTACATGAAATAACAGAAATCATACAAAACAAACAGTGGGTATATAGGAATACCTAAATCTGCAATGTTCATTTTAAACAGAACCATAACCTTATGTTTTCGAGCTGAATCTGAAAGTGTAGAGCTGTAGAGCAAACTTCCATTTTTTACTGTAAGAAATGAAACAACGTAATTAAAACAGCGATAACTGATAAAAGGAAGCTAAATTTTTTAACTAAACACTTTATTTTGCGGATCACTGAGGGAGTGCACAGTTTATAAACAAATGTCTTGTACAAACTAAACGGAGGTATGACTTTATGGTTTTGTAGTTTTAAGTTAAGTGCATTTGCATAAAGTAGTAATTCAATTCAGTTGACAAGTGCGTTTAAAAATAGGTTTTTAGGTAACACTTTTCTTTAAAGATCAGCAACAATATTAAACCAGTTAAACCAAAGAGTGGACAGTGTGGAACAGAGGCTAAGTAGCTGATATTCAAACTTCTGGGAAACAAGATGCCTTCACAGAGACCGCGTTAACTTTATGGAGCCGTGGAAAGTACTTTACTACCAACAGATCAGTTGGAGAATGATTTTCTAGCTAGTGAAGTTGGTACAAAACTTAAAATTCTCAAGTCAAAATATCTATGACATGCTTTGAACAAATATGGAGCCCAAAACTACACTTGAAACATCCAAATTTTCCAAGAAATAAGCTCTCATCACTAAAGATTACAACCTTGGAAATCAACGCAATGAAAACTGGCAAATATATACATACTTGACTCCAATTATCTGATAAACCCTTAGCGAGTTGAGTTGCAACGTTGATATAAGTTGCTTCCTTTGCTTCTGGCTCCGTGTAACATAAATGACGAGAAATCATTGTTGATAAAACATCATAACCTGTTTCACGAACAAAACGATTGACGTGCTGAACAGCTTTAAAAATAAGTTCCAAAATAATAGTTCTATCCACTTTAATGAAATCCTTGGATGGAAGATTTGAAACCATTTCCTGTAAACACTTCATCCATGTTTCCAAGTTCTTCCAACCTGCTGTATCATGGAAAATAGATAGAGAACTGCTGCTCAAATTAGTACTGCATTCCTATAAAAACATCAGCGATTAAAGAAAGCAGTTAGAATTTACTAACCTTAGCTAAGTTGAGCTCTCGTAGAGATAACTCAGCTTCAGATACAGGGGCTTCAGTATTTCTTTCTAAATTAGTGACGACACCCTGAATTACAGTGGGTAAGTACCGGATGAACAAAGATAATCCAGCATGTCGACAGAGGGAACCCATAAGTTGACCTGCAGCTATCCGAACTCGGAATTCAGGGTTATCATGACATTCAACTGCTTGATCTTCTAATTTACCGACAATACCAACATCTACCAGAGATCGATAATCAACATTGCGAAGTAGGATGATAGCTGCGGTGATCCCACCAAAGACCTGGCAAAAATTAGTAACAACAACTACTTACGTCTTCCCAATTAGACAGCCCTTCCAACTTTTCTTCTATCCAACTTGACACCAACTTAACTTCGTCAGATGTTAGTGATATGTTATTCAGCTGATCTTCGCCTTTTTCACGATCAAGCTTCTTGGATGCACATAGAAGTTCCAAAGTTGATAAGAGATTAGTAGCTTCCATTGGCTGAATTGCGACCAAACTGGAATAAGACATTTTATAAATTGTAAGCTATTACGAATGTCACAATGGATTTCGTTACATCTAGTGGTGGATTTAAAGACGATTTTTAAAAAATCTTAGACAAGCGATATACCATAGTAATGAAACTAAGTAGTGTTGAAAAAACATTGTAAATGTTCAGTGTCCATTAACCGTATTTTGATGCTTTTCTGTAATGAGTACCTTAGAGTGAGGCATTTGTAAGGATATTAACTAGAAAGATTAAGAATAGTTTGGGAAGTTCACAATCGTGACGAAAAAAGATAGGATCCAAACATACCTGTTTCGTGATAGGTTCCCACAGTCCGTTTTGAAATGTACCGAAGCTACTAAAAACAGGTGATAAAGCATTCCAATCTTGGGACCCTAAAAATGTACTTCGGTAGTGCAAACATTGCAAATACAGTTGAGATATTTCGTATTTAAAGATTAAGCACGACAATGATGGTGACCTACGGAACACATGAATAAACATGGGGAACGTAAATCGTACATAGTAAAATTAAGTCATGCATTAATACATAAGATTACTAAGTTTCGAAGTTTGATGATCAGCAAGCGTCCGTCTCCTTAGACTTTAGGTTAATGATGTTTTGCTGAACACAAAAGTATAGATCAAAAGCCTATAATAAAGGAACTGGGAATAAACAAATTAGAGTATAGGCGGTCATGTGACCAACCTACATCGCGAGAAAAAATCCCAAAGAAAACGAATATATGATCGGTTACAAAGGGACTGACGCTATTATACTAAGGAATGAAAAATAGACAGACGAATGCACACATTCCGCCGTCAAACCGCTTTAGACATATTAATAACCTAACTAGTAACCAGCTGATACCAACTGGTGACATAACTCCCCAAATTACCGCTTGATCCGTTCTTCATATACAAATACTAACGAACCAGATTCAAAACGAATGTTATCAAAGTTCGGACGCAATGAATTCATTGGATTAATCCAAACGCAGATGGCAGAAACCCTATATTGTAAATTACCGCTAGAGTTCGTTGTGCACATAAATGTTAGAAAATTGTAAGCCAACAGACTAATAGATTTCAAAGCATTTTAGCTTTTTGTGTCAAGTCAGAAGCTACTTTCTGTATTAGGAGAGCATGCAGAGTAGCGTTAAGAGGGCAGGAAAAAATGTAGGCCAACGATCCAGTGAGCACACAAGGAGTCTACATTTATTAGGTAAAGCAATCAACAATGACCAGAAATGACACAAGTTTCAGATTAAGACAATCTCGTAGTCGAAACGAGCATGTACATTTAATGTCGCGCCGAAACTGAATCGCCCACATAACACTACCGGTATTATAAAACGTTTGTTATTCATGTTGATGTTGTTTGTCCGTTTTTGACCTTTTCATTGGCAAACAATGTCTCTCGATCAACTGACAGACCGTTGAAAGTCTATAAACACAAGTGCTTTATAAATAGAAATATTGATCTCCACGTGATGGATGACGACATTTTTACTCGCTGAGTTAAATTTATGGTTTCGATAGTTTATTATGCATTTGTAACATTGTTTGCACTTTGATAGATTTAATTTCAGTTAAATTAAATCCATTTTCAAATGTGATTTTGTATCTGTCATCTTATTGAGTACATCGGGCTACTTTGTGTTTATTACACTCTTGGATCAAACAGTTCACGGTACTACTTCTCTGATTATTGTTTTTTTCCAATTTTTTCTGTGTGCGAGTCATTTGAAAACCTCTGGTTGATGACTGGATAGTAAAAAGGATGCAGTTGCCAACCGTCCGGCTGGCGATAACCTCTGTGAAGTTCCATGCAATACGTTAAGTGCAAAGGCCAGTACCACTGAGTTCGCACGAATCTAATACCTGCGATTTTCAAACGACTTATTGAAAATCTATAAGCGTAATTTTACTTGCAATGATGCTCAAATGTGTAGTAGCTCTGTAAGTTTTCGATGTTTGATACTGGTCTCATTAGTTTTACTGGACTCACATAGCTGAAGGCACTCCATCAAGCATTAGCACCAGATCACGATTGTGTACACCGTGTTACGCACCTCTGTCAACTACTAGCCATCTTTTACCAAACGTTACTCAACATAACAATAGCCTTCCAAATACATCTTCGGACCCCTTTACTCCTGATTTCTGATTTGGCTGGGTCGGTATACCCCTTTACAAAGTTGTTACTGGTTAAGGTGTTTTCGAACTACAAATGTTTGTGACGTCTTTAGATGCGAACAGCTTGTTATCCGCGGCCATTGTAAACATTAACGCTGTTAAAGAGCATATCATCAAACACGACTGGGACGGATACAATGGTACTCGCTGTCGACACACAAACCGATGTTCAGTCATCACAACTCAGCTCAAAGTCGACTGTCTGGCTTATAGAAAAAGATGAAGCACTGACTTCAAATAGGACTTTCAGAAATAAAAACTCAAAGAGGGAGACTTCCTCGACGCTACCCTCTTAATGGTAGCAGTATGGAACTATCTGAAAAACCTAGTCGTAAGGCTAAGTGCGGTTCATGCAAGGAAAAAGCAACCTGGCCACCTTGATTATCAATGATCAGCCACAGTCTTAGTGTGTGTAGCTCAACTGTGACCGCTAATCAGGATGGATACAAATCAAGAATAAGCAACGACCTAATGTTGTTTACCGAATTCCAATCTCCCTAAAAGTAGTTGGGAAATTAGAACCTGAACACACTAATATGTGAATCATCTTTCATGGCGTCCAGGAGAGCGAATGATCTGGGTCCAGAACTCCCGTTAAGTATGACATTGAATTGGAAAAAAGCCTACTTCGCCGGCTTATGCCTCTATATATTATTGGCATCACACTACTGAAGATTTGTGAATTAGGTAGTCAGCGGACCTCAACGCAGGTCAAACCAGGCAGCAAAAATTGAGACGCAGTTCTACAGTGTTGAGACTACCTGAAGGGATCAAGAGATGGTCCCGCAAGACCTTGTCGCACACGGACCCTATAGAAAGGCAATAAGCTGGAATAGAACCGAAACTAAGTTTAAATGCTGAAGAGAAGGACATTAGGATTGTGAAGATTCGGGCGGTGAGCTCTCAGTAGAGGGTGACAATAAAGACACTTTAGGTAGGGCACGAATGTTCCTTGGACCTGCTGCACAAATTACCAAAGCTTGCTCAACAAGCAATGGAAGCCAGGTGTAAATATAGACTCTATCAAGTCAGATGTAATCGCCTTCACAGTAACTAGGCTGATGCAGTCTGTAAACAATTAGAAAATTTGATTTCGAAAATTCCGTATTGTTGAAAGTCGATATAACCCATGAGTTTAAATAGAGAATTAGCTGCATTAATTTGTAATACTATTCCTTTAAACATCATCTATAATATCCAATGAAAGTAGAACGTGCGAATAAGTTAGCTTGTAGTAGCATGTGATCCTAACAACAATCCTCAAAGCTGAACATGAGATAACTGGGAAAATGGACTTTCAAAGTGTAACACTAAAATAAGGTCAATAATGGTGAACGCAATAACATTCTTTCCAAATTCAATTCATCGTATGGTATGACTAGGCCGTTCAGGATTGGTCATACTTATGTAACATCACTTTTATCATACTAAAACTTTTGTTCTGTCTCTAACCTAAATGTGTTCTGCACTATATGTTGGTGATTGTTACAATACGATGAGTTAGTGTAGACAGTGATGTCAACTCCACGTAAGATCTTATATATTAGGCAGTTATATCGTGACAAATCTGTAATTTGAAGATTAGATCTACTATTACAGCAGTACTAATAACGAAGTAGACCATAATTCTACAAGCCGCAGCTTGAAATGCAAAGAACAAGAGATGCTGATTGATTTGGTGTGCAGGAGTTCAAATTGTGGTGTGAACGTGGTCTCGCTCGATGGATTTATATATTGGTCTTCAAGTTGTCAATGTTTAATATGAGGAGAATTTAGTGAAGTTATGACAGACTAGGTCTGTTGTGAAGTAGTAACTCAGTGAAGACAATAGTGGATGTGTCTCTGGATTTCGTGGATTTGTTGAAGTTAGACATTAACAACGTTGGATGCCGGCCCACTCGTCTAGCGGGTAAGCGCTCGCGCGCGAGACGGATAGGTCCGGGTGTAGTGAACAGAACACCAATGCAAACAATCGAATGTATTCGACACATAAAATTACAGAACTTGTTAATGAAATCTAACAACTATATAGTAAATGCTCAATTTGCAAAATGACCATCAATTGTCTGAAAATGACTCAGAATTCATTGTTTTTGCATTTTCATACAAACTGCATTCTGCTTTCATTCTTTACTGTTCGATCCTCTTCTCTCTCTGCTGCCAGACATTCTGTCCCTGACCAACGTCATAAAAAACTTGTGTCGATATAGGTAGCACACACAATACCGGGTTCGAATCTCGCGAAACGGGATCATGGATGCGCACTGCTTAGGAGTCACACAACAGGACGAAACGGCCATCCAGCGCTTCCGGGTTTTTCACGGTGGTCTAGCTTCAACTGACTCATGATCTCAATCATTCAAATTACAACAATATCCACAAAACCCATTCTAATATGGAAACTGAACTATTAAACAATTCTATTAAAGAATTTAGCTGATTCCCCAATTAAATGTGCCTCGGTGAAGTATATGATAGACACAAAAGGGTACGATCAGGACTCCGAATCACCTTCACCCGTGTTGACCCATCATAAACCTCGGTAATATGCCAACTCTAGATAAGAATTATCACGCTATTCTAGTTTCCATGTAATTTTCAACGTGTATGCGTTAGCTGAAACCAGACCAAACGCTTGAGAAGAAAATTTAACAAACTTATATCTTCAGCACTCAATGAAATTCGTAACAGAACGATAATCTCTTAATAAAACACTCAGGAAGGTGTTCAAAAAATTGTATATTAAAGTTATTGCAATATATATTCCTTGGACTATGTCAAGGAAGACGAGAATCTCTTACACCATGTTCCAGTTTCGAGGTTCGCACTCGCCTCTTTGAGAAACAAACAAGGCGAGAGAGATTTGGGTTATTATTCTCTGGTGAGACGAATTGGGAATGTTGGAAAGCCAGAAATGCGTTTACCTCAATCATACGCAAAACTAGAATATTGTATGTAGGAAAGCTTGTTAAGGAGTCAAAATAATTCCCTGGGCACTTATATTCGTACAGAAACCGAAGGTCTGAGGGGTGATTTTCTAGCATAATGAAGAGTCACTTTTACCGTGGCGGTATTTGTTCTAAGGTCCTCGGAAATGCACATAAGATAACTGGGAGAATTCACGTTCAACATTTGTCACAGAGAGGTCGGAAATGGTAGACGCGGGGATAATTGAGCGAAAATGATATGGTTCGGTCATGCAGATACGGCCACAACAGACCTTGCCGGTGAAACTCTACTTTATGGACGACCTTTGAACGAATTTTTAAGTGACCTTGAGGACATTAGCCAATCAGAAGAGAGTTAGTATGAAGTGAAAATATATAATAAAAAAGTAATGAATTACAATGGATATTCTTCTTTTACATTATTTAAGAACTTGTTGAGGTTTGATATAGGTCCAGAAGTTTTGAAATCATAGTGCATGCGGTATAAGAACTCGTCCATATGACTCCATAATAATCGTCATCTGGAGCCGTGGTAGGGTCTTAAAAAATACTTCAGCCTAGACCACATGCCCTCAATGTTGTTTGTATGGACCCCTCGTCGTTGGATCAAAGAAATGACGTTTGTGCACCACCACATGATGCACAAAACCAAGTCTCGAGAGGCATCTATACGCTTTCCAATCATCGGTATAGCCGCAGCTAATGTTACTGGAGACTTTATGATCCAATTTGCAACGATTATCATGGTTTGTCTTAGCCTTAGCCGTGACCGGGCAAAAAAAGTGCCAGTTCGAGCAGATTTTTTTCTACAACATATAGTACAACGAAATACAATGTCATCGGATGTGAGCATCTCGCACTGAACTTAACGCCGTGACCTTGAAATTCCATAAACGCTTCTGATTGGCTCGTCCATAAATTAGAGTCCTACCACCTTGCCTTATGTATCAAATATATTCATATCTTCTCAGCTCAAACGTGCTCATCAGAAATGCTAGACGTCGTATTGATGATTATCATGATAGTACGAGTATGTGTAGAAGATGATGTAAATTCCACGTAAGATCTTATCAATTAAGTAATCACATCATCACAAATCTACAATTTCGGGATTAGGTCTATTAGTATAATAGCAAGATTAAATGCACTATTATCGAAGTCTATGACATCCTGGA